CCCTGGCCTCCCTTAACTTCGGCATCAACTCCCTTCTTCTCTTCCTCACAGACTCGGTGTAATCTTCATTTATATAAATATTAGATCCTTTAAGCTTCTTTGCTTGTTGCAGTATGTGTGCCTTATCTTTCTCTTTCATCAACTTTACCATCACCGCCCTCGGTCCCCGATCAGAAGGTTTCCCGACTCTGTGAGCCCGCTCCATCTCAATTTCTTGATGAATTTGCAGTTTCTTCTTTAATATTTCCTTCACCTTACATTCCGCTTCCATCCAGCTTTCTCCAGCTGACTCCTTGATTCCCTCAAAGATCAGGTTTTTTCGCTTGGACTGTACTTTCAAATGCTCCATTTTATCCATTATGGCTATTAAACTCTCACAGGTTCTGTAGACATCCTCCCTTGTTTCCTTGGTTTGTATTTTCTGTTCACCCATGGCTGCTTTAATCACATCCACATCTCGCTGGGTAAACTGCAAACTCGTTTTTATCTCCTGTATTTCTCTGGTCATGTTGTCGAGTCTCTTGTTATTTGTCTCCATAAGTAGTTGCACAAAACCTTTGAAGTTGTCTTGTTGTTGGCTCAACAGTGTGGTGTACATCTGCTTCTGCTGACTCAACATCTCTGTTACTTGCGCCGCTGAAATATAATCCTCTTCTGCTTCAACATCCTCGTTTGCTTCTGATTTATTAGCTCTTTTCCCTCTTGGAGGCAATTTAATAGTTGTAGAATTTGTTCAAAGACTTGAAAATGTAGAAGATGCGAAAAATTGTAGAACAGACAAGAGGAGCAGTAAAGACGTCTGCTCTCGCTTGCAACCCTGAACTGCAGACGATAGGTTTTGACCGGGAAAAGGCGACATTTAAGAGTCAGTTTAAACACCGACACTACGCCGCCCCCTCTCCCAGTAAGGTGAGGGGCATTAAAAAAATAGATAGTCAGGAGGTAAGAGTTCAGAGAAAGCAGAATTCCTTCAGCCACGTTTCGGTAACCAAAAATGCATCCAGGTCATAGGTGGTAATAAAATCATTAAGAATAAATGTCTTATTATTGAGGGACCTAGCATTAAAAAGAGCAAAGCGAAGCAAACTTGACTTATCCTGTGATGAGTCGGCCCGGTTCAAAGGCTGGAGATTGACCAAAGAGCGCCACAGCTAGAGCGTCTCACCAGTCGGAAGTACGGGCAAGGTGGGTCTGTGTCCAGGCCGATAGGTTGGAGGAAGCGGTAACATTCAACCAGGCTCCAACTCGAGGAATGAAAGCCCCATTTCCTTAACTTCATAGTCACCAGTGATGATGTTAGACCGAACTTCAGCCTGCTATGGATTCCAGACCTCCTCCCGCATCGTCGCCACTGGGATGCCCGGGAAGGAAAACCATCCGAGTGTCAAAGAAACAAAGGTATCGAGATAGGCGGGGGTGGAAACGACTCGGTTTGGTGGAAACAGTGTCTGCTCGGGCGACTAAACAGAATTGCGTATTTCCAGGAGCGCATGGCGGTCATATATCAAAGTAGCGATGACAGTAGTAGCTTCAAACACACAAAAACAAAGTACAAACAGGAGGAGCCAGCGGCAGGCCCAACACAGAGGTGCCATCTTAAAACCCCTTAGATGGTATTTCCTATCTGCTGTATCTCATCTATAATTGAATTACTAATAACAAAGCAAGTGTAAGTGGCATTGGGTGGTTTAATCTACAACAATGCATCATATTCTATTAGCGCATCATAGATTTTGTATAAAAATCTAAACTGTATTGTAACAGTGGCCTTTTGATACCTGTAGGAACACTGGGGGCTGTGACCCCCAAACTGGGAGAGTGGCTCCAACAGATCCCAGGAACAACATCTGAGATCTCTGTCCAGAAGAGTGTAGTCCTAGGAACAGCTAAGATACTGCACAGGACCCTCAAGCTCCCAGGCCTCTGGTAGAGGATCCGAGCTTGAAGGCAGGAACAAAACTGCTCCAAAGTGGGGCAAGTGGGGAAATATACTGTATATCAAAGAGTGGGAAATACTAGAATTAAGGGCTGTAAAATTCCTATGGCCTTCCGGGTGTTGTATTAAGTGAAAGGGTGAAGAAAGAGGCTTATATTGAATTGTCTCTCTCCAGCTCAGAGTATACTATTACAAGTAATGGTACATAATAACAAGAGCCTCCCAAGATGGAGGAGCAGGATGCTCATCACTGGAATCAGATAATGGCCTATGTCTCTGATGTTTTAACAGGCCTAAGTGTGTACACCGATAAGAAGCTAACTGTCTTACTGGATTCCACAGGCACTCTTGCCCAGGGGGATATCTTAAAGGAATAATACATATTTTGGCCTGAGACTGTCCTGGTGGCATTGGAACTAAAATCACAATCATAATTGTTCAAATGTTTTATAAGACAGCTTAGAAATTCATGCATTTGAAAAATTTACAACATTCTGTCTAGGTATATTTTTGAAATGTTGACTACCCAGACTGGCTTTGTTTCATTAAGTAATTAATTGTTATGAATTACGTAATATCATTGCAAAACAGTTTTAAATGAAGAGGTTTTAGATTTTGGGACATAGTTTGAGTTTTAAGGCAGTGTTACGTTGTACACTGTACACAGCAATACTGTTCAAATGCATAATTATTTCAAAAATAATGGAACTTTGACAGGATTTATGCAAATTTGATGTTCACTGTGATGGATTATGCATGTTTCAAGATTCTGCTAATTCATTTTCATACTATAACACAAAAAGTGTGGTTCCCAACCTCTCTGTCTCGTCACCACTTACACAAGAACATTGCATAGCTGACTCAGTTCTGAAAAAGTTTTCAAAGCAGCATTTGATATGAGGTAACATTTAATCCAAAGCAATCTGAAATACTGTCTTGCAGTTTGTTGCCAACACTGATTCTCTTGGCTGCTCTTATCTAGCTATGTATGCTATTTATAAAGAAACCTGTCCTGAACACCCTGGCATTAGAACTTTTACTTCACTCAGCTCCTCTGGGATTGTGCAGTTGAGAAGGTGAGATGTGAGACCTGTATGCTTAAACTGTAACATTTACACCCCTCTTCTCATTCCCATGACATTTACAGCCAGATTAAAGCTGCATGCAGCCCCACCTGCTGCTTTGATGCCAACTCCCTTGTGCTAGGCTCTTGCAAAGAGAGTATGTAGATATAAGGATCTTACCAAAGGTCCCAGATTCCCATTAGAACCATGTGTGTGTGTTTGTGTACGTGTGTGTGTGGCTGTCCTCACCTCGAACCTGCAGCCCCGGACCACACGTCTCCTGAGCTCCAGGGCTGTCCTGACGCACAGACCATGGAACTAGCTGGCATCGACGCCATTTGTGTGTTTTCCATCTGTAGAAGAAGCGGAACAAGAATTAAACGGTCTGGGCTCATCATTTTCCACAGAGAAACACCAAGTTCAGCACTGCAGGGAAATGTGAGAGACGGCATTAATTGCTATTATGGGAATACCAAATCAGTCACTATAGGTCAATGCTGTGACATGGGTGAGGATTTTTAAACACTATATGAACTGCAGCAGTAGCAATAATTGAAGGAATACTTGTGACATGTGCTATATACTGTGTCAAAAGGGCAGGAGTATGTCATGTGAGTTTCACTGAGACCACGACAGGCAATGGAAACTTTACACATAATGTTTAGCAACTTAATATAAGATTTTTACATCCAGTGAAAAGCACCAATTACCTGTATCCTTGACAGACAGAAGGAGTGTCGCACTCTCTTTCCTGGCTCAGCACTTCAGGACAGTCCTGTCCCCCATTGGCTGGTAACTGGATAATGATACGTTTCCTGTACTGCTTCCTCTTAGTGTTACCACCTAAAGAAAACCACAACATTGACATTCATTTTAGTACCTAGTTTTGGTAAAGTAATAATAAGGACAATCACCTTTATTTGGCCAAGCATATTACACACACAAGGAATTTGATCTGGTACAGAACCGAGGCAGCCATTTGTGTGAACCAAAGTATCAAATGCAGCAGAGTAAACCTTTAAAATAAAGAAAAGGGCTGTTGGTGTGGTTACACCTTCAGTTCCAGCATACCCTGGATCTTTGAAAAGATACTTTAACAAGAGTGTGCTCTGGTCTCCAGTTTCTATAATGCATTTATCTGTTCACTCTCTGCTAGAAATGACCACTTCACTGATAGGCTAATGCAATTAAGTGGAATATTGAATACCACCCCCCCATCATCTGCTCTGTGGTATCAAATACACCTCTGGGTGGTAGAGGTTATTGACTTCAGAAGAAGTCCAGGTATATCAAGACTATCGTATCACATTACATTTCTCCAAATGCCAGAGTTCTGGTGATGCATGGTGGAGGAGCATTTAGGAGGACTACTGAGGAATGATGCTATACTGAACAAAAAGAAAAATACATAGATAATGTTTACAGAACTTTTGACAGTTGGATGTTCTGGAGCACTGAAAAAAAGACATCAGCCATGACCTCAGAAAAACAATTATTACTGCTCATCAGTCCAGGAAGGGTTAAGAGGCTATCTTCAAAGCACCACTGTGTCTTAAAGCTACCTGCTTGACATGCTGATGGGCAGTAGCTCCAGTCGCTGTATGGGGTGACGATACAGTCTCTCTTGCATGGCAGAAAGCAGGGTCTTACTGTATCTGGACGTAGACTCTCTGGACACCTGAAAGTACATCACTGATATGTTCAGACACATACACAGATTACCCTTGAAAATTTGACAGCGTACAAAATTTATTTTACAGGTGCAAAAATAAATGTATACAAAAAAGGTTTACAAATACAAAGCTCTGTTACGTACACCTTTTTGAATAATATGCAATAAAAACTAAAATATGATCTGTTATTTCAGTTGAACCTTTATTTAAATGACAAAAGCACAAAGAAATAAATCAGAATCAAAATCACCTTTATTGATCAGGTGTGTTGGACACACGAGGAATTTGACTCTGGTACATTGGCTCTCAATGTGTATGTACATATCCCAATGCAAGGGGCAAGTAAACAGTAAACCAGCATAAGTGTCATGATTCTGTTCCCTCTGCTTTCGTTATCATTTTATTATTTAGACACCACTTCCGGTCACAGTGTCATTTCAGCTACGGACTCTTTACACTAATCAGTGACAATTGCTTGCACCTGTTTTCACCCCTTTACAGGGAGCTTCCTCCCACCAGGAAGCTGTCAGATTGTTCTAACTCATGTCCAGGTGTTGCACTGAGGGTTATTGTCCAGTCATATTTTCGTTGGTCAAGTGTTCATCAGAGTGACAGCCTAGGGGAAGAAACTGTCCCTGTGCTTGGTTGTCTTGGTGTACAGTGACCTGTAACGGCATCCAGAGGGGAGGAGTTCAAACAGATTGTGTCCCGGGATGTGAGGGGTCTGCAGTGATCCTCTCCACCCTCCTTTTGACCTGTGAGGTGTACAGGTCCTCCATGGAGGGCACGCTTGCACCAATGAACCTTTTTGCAGTTCTGCCTGTCCACTGAAGTCTGTATTTGTCCTGTTTAGTTGCTGAGCCAAACCAGACAGTGATGGAGGTGCAGAGAACAGACTCAACGATTCCTCTGTAGAACTGTATCAGCAGCTCCTGAGGCAGGTCAAACTTCCTGAGCTGGCGCAGCAAGTACATCCTCTGCTGTGCCTTCTTGATGATTGTCCCGATGTTGGACATCCACTTCAGGTCTTGGGAGATGGTGGAGCCCAGGAACTTGTAGGACTTTACTGCTGATACAATGCTGCCAAGTATGGTGAGGGGGGGGGGGGTAAGGGGGGGGGCC